ACAGAGGAGACACACAGGGGACACACAGGGGACAGAGGGGACACACAGGGAACAGAGGAGACACACGGGGACACACAGGGAACAGAGGAGACACACGGGGACACACAGGGGACAGAGGAGACACACGGGACACACAGGGAACAGAGGAGACACACAAGGGACAGAGGAGACACACACGGGGCAAAGGGGACACACAGGGAACAGAGGAGACACACAGGGGACACAGGGAACAGAGGAGACACACAGGGGACACACAGGGGACAGAGGAGACACACAGGGGACACACAGGGAACAGAGGAGACACACAGGGGACACACAGGGGACAGAGGAGACACACAGGGGACACAGGGAACAGAGGAGACACACAGGGGACACACAGGGAACAGAGGAGACACACAGGGGACACACGGGACAGAGGAGACACACGGAACAAATCAATTGATGATGTCATAAAATCTGTCTGTGACTTTCCCGACAGACATGACACACAGGGGACAGATGTGACACACAGGGGACAGACATGACACACAGGGGACAGATGTGACACACAGGGGACAGACATGACTCACAGGGGACAGATGTGACACACGGGACAGAGGGGACACACAGGGGACATACAGGGGACAGAGGGGACACGTAGGGGACATACAGGGGACACACAGGGGACAGAGGGGACATACAGGGGGCAGACAGGGGACAGAGGGGACACACAGGGGACAGAAGGGACACACAGGGGACAGAGGGGACTCACTGCACCAGATGAAACAACCCATTATCACATACGACACTCGTCATTCACGATCCACACGACACCGTACGACGCTGCGTCGGGCTGTAACCACGCTGATGTCATGGAGTCTGAACGCGACATGAAAGTAGCAGCACTGTCTGATCACTGACTAAAATAAAGTTTGTATAATTTCAAATCCCGTTAAAATCATGAGTTCAGTGTGTGAACGATCAAGACTCTGGACTTGTGTCCATGAATACTTTTGTCTTCAGAGGTCAGTGTGTTTTGTATAATGTAAATACTTTGTGTGTGTGTGTGTGTACAGGTGTGCGGGGAGGTCCGACAGGTGCGGCAGTCTCCTGTCTCCGTCTCAGAGTACCTGCAGCTCAGTCTGGAGGAGGTAACACCATCACATGTTCATATTACCCATGAGTCTTTGCTGCTATTGCCATAGAGGCGGAGTCAGAGAGTATGTAAAGATGGGTGCCATGACTTACATACAGGTGATCACACCTGTACCAAGACAACATGTAAGGGGCTTGGCTTTCATCAGCTGTCCCTGGACACCTGGACAGCATAGGGGGCGTGGCCTTCATCACCTGTACCAAGACAACATGTAGGGGGTGTGGCCTTCATCACCTGTACCAAGACAACATGTAGGGGGTGTGGCCTTCATCACCTGTACCAAGACAACATGTAGGGGGTGTGGCCTTCATCACCTGTACCAAGACAACATGTAGGGGGTGTGGCCTTCATCACCTGTACCT